CTCCCCCACAAAAAAAAAAGGAAAATGAAGAGATAAAGTGGTTCAATTAAATTAGAAAAATCTCTATAACAATATAGTTAAGTTATTTTAGTATTATCATTAGCATAATCTTATCACATCCTTAGCTCATTGAAATACGCTTCCACTCAACCAAACGCCTCAAGAATTCCTTAACCTGAAAAAAAAAATATTATAAAAATTTTTAGAATTAATTAAATAAATTACTGCTAATGTGATTTAATTAAATATTAATTTAATTAATTATCTAATTAATACTCGCCTCCGAAGGCTCTTTGAGGGAGTAAGTAGCGCAAGTTTCCTTGGGAAATTTTGAAACCAGAACACCAAATCCCTGCCCGCGGGCCCGCAACACCTAATACAAAAATTAACAAAACAAATCTTCGTTATTCAAAAACATTAAAAATTTTACAAAAAACTTAATTGAATGTCAACCCTTGTGAATTTACATGTCTAAAAACTAAAATTCAATTTCACATATATGTCAACTTTGCATATACATGAAAAATTATATTTCACTTTTTTAAATTTAAAATATTAATTTTATAAAATACCATCATTTTAAGTTTTTCAAGCATAAGCAAGATGATAGGGGTGTAAACGATCCGAACACGAGCGAGCCTCGTGCCCAGGCTCAGCTCGTGTTCGGCTCATTTATATTTCAAGCTTAAAAAATGTGTTCTTGTTCGACTCGTTTGTTTAGCGAGCCGAACACGAGTCGTTCAAGAACAAATAGTCATTTTGACAACCCTAATCACGTAGCTATCAGATGTTCATGATCGGGGCAAGATTTAAAACATCATTTGAATTTAATTTATCAATCTAATTTAATATTTTTTTATTCTATTTTCTTCAATAATACTTTTAATTGATTATAAATCTTTGTAGCCTTGTAGTCAACAAAATGTTTAAAAAGGATTACTCATCAAAAATATATATATAATTGATTAGTAGAATTTCGATCCAAAATATTCGTTTGTGTTCGACTCGTCCGTAACGAGCTGTTTGCAAACAACGAGTCATTTTGACAGCCCTACAAGATGATATGTTATGTAAAAATTTAAATTTAAATTTTAAATATATAAATACTTAGGAATTGAGTGGTATATACGTAAATCTTCCTTTCATATAAAGGGAAACCTCGGGAAGTATAAGTCATGGTATTGTTTCCATCATTTTCCATTTTCTTATGATAATTACACTGTTCTCATATTAATAAAATATTCGGCACAAAAAAAATAAAAAATAAATAAATAAAATATTTTATTAATACCTTGAAAGCATCTTCGTCGGTGCGGTCGTCACCAATATAGACGGGCAAAATATCATTGCAGTCGGCAAATCCTAAGTACACAAAAGAATACATATTATAATTTAGACGGTCGCTTTGTGATTTGCCGACGGCTTAATTAACAAATGTAATTAACTTAATAAATCGCAACATAATTTTACTTAAAATCATCTCTTATCAACCCAATTTTTAATCAAGAAAATCAACGGCCGAAATCAAGTGATGACGTGTCGGCAGAGCTTACCGAGCTCTTCGAGTAAGAACTCAAGGGCCTTCCCTTTGTCCCATTCGATGATGGGGCGAATCTCCAATACCTAAATGTCAAAAAAAGCCCCAAATACATAATTTAATCAAATTTAAGTCTAAAGACAATGTACAAGTCACTAAACGGGTGGGTTATTTTTAAGAAGAGAAAAATGCAAAATTCAAAAGTGTTAGATTCAGCCAACGCATCATGTCAACTAACTTATAAAATGGAATATTTTTAGTTTTGATGTGACAAATTTGAAAATGAGGTCAGTTGCGTTATGAAGGGTATATTTAGTTTGAAAGAATGGGATTGGAAAGCCATTTTTTTATAGGGCTTTTACAAATATACCACACAGCTCCCATGTATTTACATATTCAATGCTTATATTTTTGTTTTTTACATTTAAAACGCTCAAATTTCCTCATCAAACTAAATAAATCTTCCTTTTTTTCATTTAATGAACTTCTCTTCAATTCCAACAAAAAAAGTAAAAACTTAATTTATTATGAGCAAAAGAAAAAATATTTTTCAATCAATTTATAAATAAAAGTCTAAAAATTACTACAAATTTCAAATTTTCTATCATTTTGATTTACATTTTGTTTGAATTCCTTCAGGGTTTCATACCTTTCTCCCTTGAGTTAATTTTAAGTCTGGATAGCCTGATAAAACTGATCTCACTTCCTCTGCAAGTCCATTCCACCTCTGTTAGAATTGAAGAGAAAATTACAAAGAACAAAACAAAACAAAAAAACAAATATTAAATATCAAAATAATTCAATTCAATTTTGTTTAATATAACTCAGAAGCATTCAGACTGCTCAAAAATCTACCTTTTCTTCTACGCAACGGTAGTGAACTGATATGCAGAATCTATTGTTCTCCACCTTAGAACCAGGAATCAATTTGGTTTTCTCCAGAAGTAATTTGTATACCTGTTGATATAAAATAAAATTAAGTGATAGGATATATATGATGGCCAATAGAGCCATGCTCTCTATTAAGTAAGAGAAGCTAACCTCATTAATCATTGGTAGAAATGAACTGGCGGGCTGACACAGAATCGACTTTGCCTGTATTAAATGGGATTCAGATTCTATAAATTCATGGCTTATGATGATATTCAAATGAATTAAAGCCACCCACAGCCACACCCACCTTGGCTTTTATGTGCTTAGGCCATTTGGTGGGCCCTTTAATATCCAAACCATGACTCCCTGCGTAATACAACTCTGACAATTGCACAAAGTTGAACACCTGATCAAAATCAAACATTCAGAGTCAACAAAATTTAAACTTGAAAATTAAAATTAAAAAAAAATAACAAAATGTACCTTGTCTCTGCACCTCCCGCTCACTATAGCAGTCGGGAAATACTTCGCCACGCTCTTCACCGCCGCTCTCATCTGCGACAAAACAAACATTAAAAAACAGAGGAAGAAAGCAGAGGAAAAGGAGTGCAGAGAACAGATCAACATTTTTAAAAACAGACCGCTTCGGACATGAAAGCAGAGTCCGGATCATCCACAATCGGGGACAGAGTGCCGTCGTAATCGAGAAACATCACTATCTTCTTCCCCTTCGCCGCCTCAGTTATCTCTTCAAACTTGCTCAACACCGATGGGTGCCGTCTCTGTTCCAAAATCTCTCAAAGTTGAGAACTTTAGGCCAAAAACCAGAACAAAACGTGTCGGAAAGGAAACTGAGATAGATGGATTACTCACGATCCAATCACTGTCGTCGCTTTCCGATTGTGAGGTAGGTAAAAAGGGAACAGATCTCAACTGTGTTGGTGAGGAAACTCTCATGGATTCAAAGCAAACAGAGCTCCTGCTTCCAATTTCATGGAGTTCAAGATGAGTCATGAGCTTCTTGTAGTTGGCGGTGGAGACGGCGCTCCGAGGAGGAAGACCCATCATCTTCGCCGTTGAGGTGGCCGGAGTTGAGATTGGGCCTAGAATCTCTTGAGGCACTAACACGGCCTGTTTGGTCATGAAGAAAAGCACTGAACAAGAGAGAGAAGGAAACGGGAGAAACAGGGGGAGTTGCCCTTGTTGTTTGCGAGTGAGGGAGATTACGGCGTGAACGGGGAAGACTAGTATATATAATGGGCCGTAAGGGTAACAGAGCGATGGCCCACTCCACGTATGGGCTAATAAATAAAGGGACTTTTAGAGATGCACACGTGGCGGGTGCAAATTCTCACGCGGGACACCGCATTACCGCGAAACCGTATGTGTCAGAATGCAATAAGCTTTTATGCGTTTTGTCTAATTTTACTTTTTTGTTTCGAATTGAAAATATAAATTATATTTTTGATTGGAATTAAAGTTGTTATTTGATTGCACGTGCTCATTAGGCCTATTGTTTTTTTTTTTTTTTTTTTTTTTTTTTTTTTTTTTTTTGAAAAAAATGTCTATCAAGCAAAATGGCGAAGTGACATGTTATAAATATGTTTAACAATGTTATTTTAATTGTATTAAATGGGATTTTTTTATTTTTTTTACAATTTGTTTAGGTTTTATTTTTTAATTTCACTTAACTAGTATTATGCTCTCACCATAGCGTCCAAGTACATCAATCTTTGGTTATAATATTTTTTTAGTAAGCTTTACTTTTTGTTGAATTCAGATTTGTTCTTGAATCACATCCAAAGAATAGAGTGTTAGGAATGACAGAGAACGTGGGGGAAAACTTGAGCAAGGTAAGGAAGATTGTAGCTCTAAGGGAGCGAAAAAATTGGTTTGCATTTAATTCTTCATATTTATAGGTTCAGTTCTCAGGAAATGACATATATAGACCTATGTTATCTTTAGATCTCTAGGCACATGCAGTTGCCTTTAATAGTCATATTCCCAATAAGGTTGGGGCCTTGGTGAGATCTTCACTTAGTTGGCTTCCTTACAAAATCAGATGATTCTTGTGACTTGGCGGCTCTCGTGCTCGACTTTTTATACCCAGCATGTTGTACGTAAGTCTCGTGTGCTCTATCACATTTACTCGCACGACCTGCAAGTGTCTTGTTTGACTTCTGGTCGATCATCTGATGTTCTAGGTTAATCTTATGTAATTAACTTTTGCATTCATCTTCTCAACCATCTTTTGTTGATAGAAGGGTCGAGAACTACTTGATTCCCGCTAGTTTGAGTAGTCACTTTTTAGTCATACAAATGCATAAAAATCAATTCATATGCATTTACATATCTAAGACCTAAATTTCATTTTTTACTTGCATGCCAACTTATATGTGCTTGAAACTATTTATTTCAAGTTTTAAAAGTTAGAATGGTGTATCTTTTATGTGATATGAGAATTTTGGGGGATATAAATATAAAAAGTAAAATTTAGGAGCTGGATAAGTGAAGACATAGGAATTGGGTGGTATGCATGCAAATGCCTATTTTTTATATTTATTTTATGATTCTTTTCCAAGTTTCTTTGGAACATTACATATAAGCCAATGAAAATAAATTTATTTCATTGTGGCCCCTATATGATTGGTTTAGAATGTTATGAATACTTCTATTTCCGATTTATTGCTGAGAATTTTTTGAGTAAATATGTTTTATCTTAAAATTGAAACAGCTAGCACATTAGGACCATTATGTCATCAAAAGATCCATCTAATTAAGTATAAAAATAGAACCTTGCTTTATATGATGGAGGTTTAAACTTAAGTTTATACAGTGCTCAACCTGAAATTTGATATTGATGATCACAACAAGCTATCATCATTGTTCAGCATCTGGCCCTCAATTTTCATCATCTAATCGCCACCACCAACGATCATAATCCATTCATTAATTTTCAACCCATCAACAACCAATCATAATCGATGGACCGTCTTCACTCGAACATCATCGTCGGGCCATTATCAGTAGAGCTTCATTGCCTTGCAGACATTATTTGATTGGTTTTGACTAACTTGTTCGATTATCATCATTATTCATCCATAATATCCAGATCAACTATAATTATAAGAGATCAAGCTTGAGTGTAATGCTTTGTCATCATCTTTTCTTCAATTGAGGAAAGAGAATAACTTTCTAATTTTACTTATATACTAAATCATTTTATTTAGAACATGCTTTTTGTATTTTAATTTTTCTAAATTTTTCATGTAAGAAAACTTTGGTGCTTCTACATTTCTCTCTTTAATCTATGGGGTTGTAAATTTTTTATACAAAACAAAGATGTAGAATCCCATTATATTGTCAATTTTTTAAGTACATAAAAGAAACAAATCTACCAGTACTAAAATCATCTAAAGTTGAGTCCAAATGACCCATAAAATTTGGCATTGAAATATACTTTAAAATTTTAAAAATTATTTATAGGCACTAAATAAATTATTAATCTCTAATACCTTTAAGGAAACATAAATTCCCTAATTAACATAGATTATGAGAATAAAATTGTTTAGGAAGTACTAAATTTAATCATCATTAGTATAGGAAACAAATTTTATCAAATTGTGAAAGATCAGAGCACTACACACAAAATGTAAAAAACCTCGAGCAACATGAGCCAAAGAAAGACATTGAGCATGGGTGAGCACAAGTTGAGGTCTGCCCAGCCTTTTCTTCACTATGTGGATCACACAAAACTATACGACACAACAAGATAAGCACTTATATATATATATATATATATATATATATATATATATATATATATAAATGTAAGTTTAGCCATTTCTATTTTGAAAGCTAACTTGCATCTTCTGATGCAAGGGAGTGTCAATGTTCTTGCTTGTGTTTCATAGAGGCTCTAAGAGATACATGTCTAGATTGCAACAAACACCTATGGTATATTCAACTTGATCATCATCTATTACATCACTCACGAATCATTTTTCATCACAAACCAACATCTTAATTTCATTTATATGTGGGCGAGATGACTATCATTTAATTACATAATATAACTACAATACTTAAGATATAAGTTGATGGCCTTGCATTGGGGGCCCTCATAATAGTTGGTATGGGAAAGATATGAGATTCATAGCCTAATTGCTATAATGAACTGCTAAACAACCAACCTGCCCCATATGTGGTATACCGCCACAAAGAAGACGCGAATGACACATCGTTATTTTGTATGGGATAATCTATAACATAGGCTTGCATAACCCTTAAATGTTTTAGATGGATGTTTATTTATGAGTCATACTTGATACCACCCAATTCTTATATATCTATATATCTAACACCTAAACTTCATCTGTTACTAAATATCATATTATCTTTATATGAAAAAATATATATTTCACTTTTAAAAGATAAAATGGTGAAATTTTTTATGTGATATGAAAATTTTGGGGATATAAAAGTGAAAAATAATGTTTTGTCCTTAGATATATAGATGCATATATAAGAATTGGGTGGTATGTATGTACATGTCCCCTTAATTATTTTCTTATGTCTATCAAACTAAGTCAGAACATTTTTACGTTGATGTCATAAATAATGATCCAGATATTATAAATACAGTCAAAAACTGCCATATTGCAGATATAAATGTAATATATTTATTGTCTTGCTTTATAACACATTTGAATTCATCAGAACATCCACAAATTTTCTTTTAGAGAAAATATATGGATTCATGAAAGTTTGATTGTATATAGCATTGTTTACATTAAAACTCTATTCTTCACCTATATAAAAGATATATAGGTCTAAACTAAAGTATATTTTAAGAATTATAATATATTTTGAATTTCGTATTTTATTTTTATAAATGGGAGACTTATGGATTCAATCATTCGGTTGAAGCAATTTTGTTTTTACTCATATTTTATTGAAGACATTAATGAGCTTTGCCGACATACGGCACTGTTCATTATCTTGTCATTTGTTTCAAGCAATCGTTATTAAATGTTCACAACGGTTTTTGACTTTCATTGGAAATGACAAACGTCAACACGTGGAATTTGTCAAACTTAATTAGTTTGATAGACCATTCAATTTCTAAAACCCCCAAACATAATTAGTTTATGTGTGTGTAATGTATTTAGTTTAGTTGGTTAGACATCAACTTGTCAGTTGTAAGTCTCTTTTGATCTGAGGTTCGATTTATCCTTGTAGAGTGTAATACTCAAATTCTTAGACGCATGAGGAAAGCTCGAGGCTCGTATAATAGCCTCCGACCATTCTTTTTAAATACACAAACACAAAATTTAGGCAACTGTGGTTATTTGAAGAAGCATGTGTGAATTAGCTGCTAAAAAAGTTATGGTGGGTATTATATTCTTTTTTTTTTATTTTCAAAAAGTCAAACTATAACTTTCTGGCAGCCGCCACATTTAAGGAGCTTATGAGCTGTTTTTTTATTTGGAAAAGCAAATTTGGGGCCTTTGGGTTGTTCTGTTTCCATTGCTTACCATAAAATCATGTTGGAAGAATGATGTTTTCGAAATGGAGGGTGTTGCCTGTGTTTTGCGGTTCCTTTTACAGCGAAGTCCTGAAATTATTACTGTTGCCTTGGTTAATCTGACAATATCCCGCATTACTGATATATCGAATGCAGTGGCTCTTTGCACTAGGGCTTTTTGTATCGATGCAAGCCGAATTTAAGGGCTCTCCTTCTCCCTACTTGGTTGCCTTCGAATCTTCGTTCCATGTGACTTTAGCTTTGTTTTCCTTGCATCAATGCATTGTTGGTTTTCCTTGGGATTTTCTCGCATCTCTTTTGGTTGAGTTTTTTTTAGAAGGCCATAATGTTTGCGTGTGAAAAAGGAAGGATTTTTTTATTACCTAGGGATGTTCTTGAACCTCTGTTGGTTGATCTACGTGAAAGGGCGTTCTTTCTTCTCTGCTTGTGGAAACAAAAAAGGAATGAGAAACTAGATTTGGAATGTTGGTAGCTCTCCGACTTGGGTGTCAATAAATTTTTTTTTTCTTTTTGGTTCAATTCATTTGAAAAAAACAATAAGAACAACGGCTCATAGAGTATGTGGTTTTTTGATATAGAGTAACTGCTGGAAGATGCAAGCTATATTTTGTGGACTTTTATGAGTTTATAATTGACAAAGCATTATGACTAGAAAGTTGA